TTTGTACTATATTATACAGTTTTGAAATAATTGGGTTATTGTGTAGATTTTGACAAAATTTCTTAAATACTTATATTATCCCCCTTCTCAATTAATCATCATTATTATAACTTGATTTGTCTTGCAGGCCTAATTTCTATTTTTAAGCACCTTTATTTAATGCTCTTAATGTATTTTCTTTTATTTCATTTAGCTATGGGCATCATTGATAATTTGATGAAAACTATGACCTTTCCCCTCATAAATGTGCATACATAAAAAATTTCATACTATTTCATTTTCAAGTTGAGGAATGACAGTCAAATTAAGCTCATTCATGGATCATCACTTTCTTTCCTAAGCTGAAAATTACTCTAAGAGATAGATGTCAATATTTCAGTAAAGTTAATATGATCATCAGAAATAGGGTGACAATAATACTAGAATTAATAGAATGTCAAACATTATGCTATTTCTTCTTCATCAACCATAACTTCCCTTCCTTTACATCCTTTACTTCACTCCCTTTCTATCACCTTGCAATTTATGTCATTATTGAAGGACTTCAAGAAAAGGGAAATGAAGTTTTATTTGAGAAAGTGACAGTGCAGTTCAATTGAATATACCACACTGTTTGTTATTGCTGAGTTTTCCTAGAGAAGACATATATTTGAGGAGTCTTGTAAAACATTCCAAAAGCTACAACAGAATAGTTCTTTCTCACCTCATCCATACATAGAACTTTTCCTTCTAAATGTTCACTTTGGTGTGTATTTTACTGAACAGAATCAATCAAGAATGCTCAGACTGCTAAAGCAAAGTAAGCAAGGATGGATGGATCGTGCTTACACATACTCCAAAATATTGAAGATCTCAGCTCCAATTTAATAGAAACACATATATAGAAATTATAAATGTCTACAAGGTTTTGAAGCAGCCTGATGTATTGGGGACAATGGATGCAAATAATTTCTATTTAGGCTTATGTGAGATCAGACATTTTATACATACTCATGCACTTGTACATAAATATGTATATGTGTGTATGTATACATATATAACATATACTTAATATAATTTAAATATGTATAAAATATTTGATGTACCACGATGCTAAGGTTCTTAATACTTACCTCTCAAGGTATTGTGAGGATAAATGATGATGCAAAAATGTACCTGCCATCACTTATTTATTGTTCATCCATTACTTCATTTAGCCAATAATTATTAAATAGTTGTCATGTGCCACATGTAATTCTAATAGCACTGAGGGGGGGAAATCACATATATGATTACTCCTGACGTGTAAGATCATATTGATAAGTGATATCTACAGGAACTCATGGAAGAGGTTCTAATAGCTCCCATGATTCATCGGTGCTTGTTAACAGATAAAATCATCAGAAATATATTTCTTTGCTCAATGCATGACTTTTCAAAAATTAATCATGGCAGTGATGTCCTGCTACCATAAAATATTTTTGAGTTAATGTAATATAGTCTAACTTAAAATTTGATATACTCCATTAAAAACAGTATAATTTAGATTTAAAATTTTTGACAAACAATGAAAAGGTGTTTTTTTAAGGGTCAGAATTACACTACAGAACACAATTATTTTTCAGTTTCATGTCTTAGAAAGTTTATTTAACTTCAAATCTGTAATCTCAAGAAAGAGAACGGAGTCTGCTCCCATCAAAAGCCAAGCATGGTTCTGGAATTCACATCCCAGATATGCTTTGTTTTCTCTATTATATATATTTTGCTTGTAGCTTTCCTTGAAATTGAAAATATTTCAACAACAAATTATGAAACATTGTATTTTTCAGTCATATACTAACTTTATTTGTAGAAGGGACAATTTTTAAGCTTAAACTTAGATGCATATTTCTAAAAAATTATGACGGCTCCAGAAATTTTTATATTATTCCCATGAAATGATTGCTTAGTTATTTGAAAAATCAACTGTGGTCATGGTAGCTTACAGTGGACCCTAGGTGGTCTCCAGTTGCCACCTACTCAGTATGTCAATATAGTCTGCCTCTGTGGAGGTGCACGTCTTTGAGAAAGTCTGTTCTTTTTCTTTTACTGTTTAAAGCTAAGTGTATTCAGAAGTTACTTCATCAATGAAAACTTTAGCCTCATTAGTATGGTATCTTAATGCATTTTAATGGTGTAAAGTCCTTCAGGTGACCTACTTAGCATCTACTTTTAGATAAAATGCCAAAGCAGGGGCTATCTGCATTAAAATAAAGTGTCAAATGCGGTTTTTAACCAAAAATCTTAATCATGGACAGTTTATGGGATATTTAGAAGAAAATGTAACAATTCACGATTTCAGCCACCTCCTCCCCAACATATTGTCAAGCACTGAGCTTGACAATATAAACTATCTTAATGAATGATGAAAAGAAAACTGTGAATATGAATTTTTCCATGTCTCAAAAAAGTGGTTCTCATACTTGTGTGTACACCAGAATCACCCAGAACGCTATTTGAAATACAGATTACTGAGTTCTAATCTGGAATTTTTTCAATCAGTAGTTCTAGAGTGTGGCTCAATAAATTGCTTATCTAATTAGTTCTGGGCTAAAAAAAATGGTGGAAAAATATATTAATTTCTGATGTGATGTTTAGACCAAACTTCTGAAATGTTATATGGCTGGTAGTTATGCTTATTTGCTACAGGTAAGCTATATTATTGCATCTTTTGTTTTGGTCATGGTAGCTTAGCTAATCAAATGATTCTCCTATAGATGCAACAGCAGGTATGAGCCATTTTTGCATAGATTACTTGAAAATAGTATAAATGGTATCAATTATGGGAGCTTTATCTGCTAAGTGTACTGTGGAAATGCATTTAACTGTGACTGATCTCTACTTGAGAAAACCAAGACATCTCTTCATTTGCTCTTATTCTTCACATGCACTCACACACTTCAGGAGTTACATCTTCATGGTTGCACCTGGTGTAGAAGGCCTATAGAGACAAAGCTGAGTACACAGAGAAGAAGCTGCTACATCTGCTCACAAGAAATGTTTCTTTCTTCTTTATAATTACCTGAAAGAAGGCTCTGTCAAAGATAGTCATTCCCTTGACTTTTTAACATGAAAATCCAGCACAGCTGTTATGAGATGAAGTGGTCAACTCATACTTTTCTGTTAAATATTTTTACATGCAGGCAGTCCAAAGGAGTTATTCGTGTTTCAAATCTAGTACCCTTGTACTTTAATTCATGTTGATTTTTATGAAACTACTACCCTAGGGCCTCTCTTTACACTTAAATGTCAAGACAAATGTGCTATGTGTTTAGGTACAGTAAATGTAATTGCATTCTCCTTTAATCTGATCATGTTGGGTCATTAAGTGACAGTTGTTACAAGTATGTAAGTATTTATCAAAGTGCCATGTCATCAATAAATAGCAATGACCCTAGTAAATACAATAATAATGATGATGACAACTAACATTTTATTGAAAACTTACCAGATATCAGATACTGTCAAAAGATTTATATGAATTTAAATCCATAATCAAAAGAAACCTATAAAAATATTCTTTGCATTTGTATTTCTGGAATACAGGAAAATGAAGTTTCAGAGACTAAAGGAACTTCTTCAGTGTCACACAATGAGTCACAAATAGACCTGTAATTTTATCTGGGAAACTTAACTACAGAGTTCTTTCTCTTGATGACTATCTCACTGTCTTAACCATGACCTATATTTTACAATATTTTACTGTTTTGTCACTCAAGCTAAGTTCAACTTTAACTAGTTAGAATACATTATAACTAGACAACAAAGTCCTCAATAAAAATCAAACACAAAGCAATGTTCCATTTTGAAAATGGATACCTAGAAACTGAAAAAAAAGTATTTTATTTTTGCCTCAAGCAAATTTAAGGAATTGCTTATCATATAACACGTACTTGATATAAAGCAAAGCCCTATAGCTGCTAAAAGTTATAAAACTGTGGTTTTTACACTTGAGTGATAAGTTAGAAAGCAAAAATGATCCCTTCTTAAAATGAAGTAATCGATTTATTTCTCTTTAATAAAATTTTAAACTTCAATGAGACATAATTGTTCAAACAGAAACAATATTTTTGGCATCATTATATCCTCAAAATATCATAAACCTGAAAGTATTTCATTGTTGACTACTTTTTGTGATAAATCTGTTATCACAATAGGATTGTACATTCAAATTTTTACTACATTAGGTCTTGTCCAACTTGTCACGTTGAAGTAGCAATAACACAGAATCATAAATACAAATTATTAATATCTGACATCCCAAGAAATAACTTTAGCATTAAGTTAGTGTAGCTTTGCAAATGAAACAAACACATTCAATAGGCACCAATTCCAAGTATCTCTAACTATCCAAACCGTTCTCTGCACTGTGGTAATTCTAATCCCTATAATTTATTCATCTCTGGATACACTCCAAAGCATGGTTTGCGTGTGTTATCCACTAGCTTTTAAAATCAGTATTCATTATTGAGAGGAGAACAGAAGCAACTCATCAGAAAGATTTGTTGCAGTGATGTTTGTGCTGAGGAACATTTTTGGCAAACATTTATAACCTGACGCATAAAAGAGTTGTGAGGATTCAAGATTTAAGTCATTTACCTCAAAGATCCTCCCAAGAGCCACACTGCTATCACTGTAACAATTCCAAATCTCATTCTAGATGCCCGTAAATACTCAAATTGGAAAGAAACCTGTAATTGCCCAGTGGATATTTCAAATAAACTTAACTTTGCTATTTCAAGCCACAGACACCAAATGGACACAAAGGTAATGCTCTTAATTTTCATCAACTTATCAAAGCTGAGGTTTTAAAGTGATGAATCTCCTTGTTCTTGGCACAAACCATCCCTGACCATTTAGAGAGATGAAAAAGAGTCTTTGAGCCAAAGTATCAGACCACAAAAAGAATGTCGCTAAGCTCTTACCAATGGTAGGAGCCTCTGAAATCATCAGAAATGCTGACGTCAAGTTTTATGTTTCAGGTCATTCAAACAGTTAGCGCCATGGACAAAGATGATCCCAAAAACGGACATTATTTCTTATACAGTCTCCTTCCAGAAATGGTCAACAATCCAAATTTCACCATCAGGAAAAATGAAGGTAAATATATTAGCTTTGTGAAACAGAGTACAATATAAATTGGAAAACAGGTTGCAATTTCATAACTGAAAATATCATTATAATAATTTTTGTTTACCCAGGAGCACTTGAAATTCAGCTTATCAGTGTAATGGCATGATAATTACCTTACTTCCTATTTTCAATATTTAAACAATAGATAAGAAAACTGTTAATGTAAAAAGTTAATTTCGGCCGGGTGAGGTGGCTCAAGCCTGTAATCCCAGCACTTTGGGAGGCCGAGGCGGGTGGATCACGAGGTCAAGAGATCGAGACCATCCTGGTCAATATGGTGAAACCCCGTCTCTACTAAAAATACAAAAAATTAGCTGGGCATGGTGGCGCGTGCCTGTAATCCCAGCTACTCAGGAGGCTGAGGCAGGAGAATTGCCTGAACCCAGGAGGCGGAGCTTGCGGTGAGCCGAGATCGCGCCATTGCACTACGGCCTGGGTAACAAGAGCAAAACTCCGTCTCAAAAAAAAAAAAAGTTAATTTTATTCCAGGAAATACCTCAATCACCTTACTTTAAAAAATGAAAAGTAAAATGTAACCCCTTGAAAGCATCCAGGTATTTTGAGATACTAAGATACCCTGAGAGAAGGAATTGGCTTACACTTTGCAGTTGCTAAGTTTTAATTCAATGTTTACCAAGTCTTTAGGGAAAGGTTTTCTAATTTTGCCTGGTTGGTGGGTACACATGAAAGGTATTTGTTTTAAGCCTGTACCAACTTCAACAATAACAATTAGATCAGAAAATCCTTTTTGAAGGACATTTCTTATCAGTATTATTTTGGAGCTAATATAAACTGATTCATTAAGTTTTTCACACACTGAGCACATTCAATACATTTCATTAGATTTTCTAAGGACCAACCTTGGATTGCTGTTTTCCTTAACTGTATTGTTTATTACATATGAAAGCCATAGATCATTGTTTAAAGTCTATCTCATTTGGACATTTTTGTTTCCTACACTGCTATATATTTAAAAAGTTTTTTTTAACTTGATTTTTTTGTTCAAATATATTTAAGTCTTAGTTGTAGCTGTTTTAAGATGATTAGCAAAATGTAAGCAATATCTCGGGCTTTTTTCTAGCTTTTACTATAGGTATCTGTTTAGGTCTTTCAATGGTTTGTATACAAGCTATACTCAGAAGGGTAAAATTTGATTCATGATATCTGTTTGTATTATGTGTGATAATCTGTTTTAAAGAGGTAGTGAATATTGACAAAATTTTCTTTATGAAATAAAATAACAGTTTTATGGCTCATGCTAAATATATTATGGTCTTGCCTTTTAATAAAATGTTATATATTCTTGGGGATGCTTTGATAAATTTGGATGAATCACAAAAAGGAAATGACAGTCATTATATGCATATTACCTATTCAGCTGACTTCCACTATTATAAACACTAAGGAGACAAAACTTTTTTCTTCTCCTCAATAATGGACTATTCATTTTTTAGCCACTCTGATTAGAAATCCAAGTACATTGTTTTTGTTTCCTTATTAACACCATCAATATTTTTTAATGGAAATCATGTGAATATTTCTAACACAAAGCCTCTCTAGAAACCCCAAACTGAGCTGGAAGTCTGTGCATAAGTGTGGTCTATGTTTATTCTGAGTATGAACTAGTAAGTATCAGTCATTATTTTTGCATATAAAATGCCCAGCTCTTAAAATTCTCCATGAAGAAGTTATTTCCTATTCCAAATATTCAGAGATCCTTCGTGTTTCCTGTAGATTTTGTAATTTCAACATACACTTGTTGTAAGTGTGACCCTGGAAGGCATCACATAATGTATTGGGTGAATGGGAAGATATTACTGAATACCAGGGAAAGTCTAGTTTTGACCCATATTTAATATGCCCTAATATTTTTAAAGATGAGAATTAATTCTACAACGAATGTATTTAATGTGTTTTCTCAAATTTTTGAAATTAGTAGAAAATGAAAGTTTAAATACTTAGAATACTTTATTCTGCTTCATTCCACATTGCAATAAAACCTGTAACAGAATATTTAATGTCATGTTAATTATCTGCTTTATCTAGAAACAGGAAAATAATTAAAATTATGATCAATCTTACAGGTTTTTCACATTATTTTCTTTTGTAATTAGTTTTAAAAAGATGTCAGTTATTATTGAAAAATGACCTGAAACAGAAGGAGCACTCCATACATCATGATTATTTATTTTAGATTGTGTTTATTTATTATACAAAGAGTGACTATGTAATTTACTGTTTCTACTGACACGTGTTTTAAAGTGAGAGGGGTCGTTACTTATATTTATGTCTGAAAAACACCGTAAACCAGGACTGTCTTATGGAAAGTAGGACTTATGTTCACTATGATTTTGGATTTAGGATTCAAATATTCAACATTTCTTTCACAAAATAAATCATGAAACCACAGGTTTGAAATAGATATATAAAGTTCATACTCTTATGTTCCTCTTCCTAGATCAGAAATTCATGAGTTTTGCTTCATAGACCACTACTTACTTGGCATCCAAATATGTACTGTAAAAACAGAAAAAAAATGATATTGTCTTAATATGTATGTATATATATATGTAGATAGATACATGATAGATAAATAGATATCTTGTGTGCCTGTTGAGAATTCATTGTTAATAATGACAGAAACATAAAAACTACCAAAAAAAAAATAAAAAAACTCAATATGATTTACTTTAAAACTATGGCATATTCTATGTTGGAAACACAGAGAGATAGAATCAAATGGTTTAGCCATATTTATCGTTTTTATTTTCCTTCTTAAGATGAATTTTAAAATGGTCAGTGTCTGATGCTTCCTCACTGAGAAACATGAGTTACAAGTTCCAGCCTACCGGTAATATGTTAAAATGTTGAGAGAGATAATATAATCAAACCTATGGTTAATGAACAAGTTTGTCTCCTCTTTAATTTGATCTGTAAGGGAGATGATTTTGTTATTTGGCATTTTCTAAGGAACTTGCCACCATATATTTCAATTCCAAATTATTTTTATTTTTCTCCTCTCTTATATAGATTGGTCATTACGCAATTTCTATCAATTTATTCACAATAAAAGACAAAATGAGATAGAAATTAGCTCTCTCTTGTTTTCTACACAGTTGAAGTATTTCAAAAATTATTCTCCTAAATATATGAGAATCATATTTCTGCCAGAATAGAAAAGCAAACTTCAATATAAATAAAGGTAGAGAAGTAAAGGTCAAAAATACAGTAAACTATTTATACCACACGTACACACCAAAAAGTCAAAGATTCTTGAATACAATACGGATAATGGTTTCTTCATCTTCCAATTGGCTGAATTTATAAGCAGAGAGTTTTGTTGACGACATTTCAATATTGGCTTCCATTTCCACCATAGAAATGGAAAACACGTAACAATTACATATCACAAGACAGAGAAGAAAAAAAGGGACCTTTTAGAGATACTAAAATATCTTGTTTGCAGGAAATTTGAGGTCTGCAAAAAATTACTCTTCTTCAGCCTGAATACTGCAGGTAAAAAATGTGATTCAAATAGCCAGAGCACCTTTTGGTGACATGGGAGCTTTCACGGTTTATACTGAAATGCTTAAATCATGTGTGTAGAGAAATGAGAGAAAATGTAAATCTCTGCTCTCTAAGGAGAGTCTACGGTAAGAAGAGAAACAGACAGTGGGCTTGGACTTAGTTATAGCTTGGTTATGTTTAAACACCCAGCAGGAGAACCATAGTATCTGATGATAACAATTTATTTTTCCTTCTTAATATCCCTCATCGACTTAAATAGTATTGATAAGAACCTTACTTTAAACACATACTTTTGATAATTAATTTGAATAATGTAGATGCTAACCATTACTTTGGAATAAACATACCTTGTGTTAGCCATTGTTAACTATGTTGTATAACATAGTTACCTGTGTAAAGAATTACTTACGCATTGCCTGATGGATTTCTGTCTCAACTAATTGGCCTACTTCAAATGGTATACAATTTATTTGTTTTTGTATCCTGGAAGTATCCCTTGCAAGAATACTCTTACATTAGGGAAGTTGTTTTAAGCCTCGGTTTTCTCATCTGGAACACCAGGATAAAATACTTGCTTCATATTTGTGCTGTGATGGATATGTATGAGCTATGACTTAGCAATTGACACAATGCCTGGCACATAGGAAAACGCTCAACAATAAGTGGGATGAGGTCCCTTTTTATGAATTCCTTAATTCTTTCTCATACTATGTTATATCTCCTCTGGCTTATCTTACTCAGCCAGGTTTCTTTGAAGCTTTAAATCTTCAGAATTATAAACCTTGTGCAGTAATTTTGAACATGGCTTCATCAATAGTTGGAAAAACACTGATCCTTACTAGAATGCATTGCAAAAATTTTGCTTACGCAGTAACTGCAATGCGTTGCATTCTAAAGGGTATTAAAATAGAAAGACAAATAAAAAGGAGGAAGTGGAGGACGAATAACTGTGAAAGTATTTCTCTACCGCAGAAATAGCTGCAGGATTCCTGGATCTGGTTTTGAATATGACTTTTTTTTTTTTTTTTAACCTTTCTATGTCTCCATTGCCAAAATGAAACTCAGGTTTCTCCACACAATGGTAGCTTCCAATTGTTGAGATCACTTTCAATTCTAGCATACAAAATTGTTCTAAATTGCCTCCAAACTCCCATCCCTCCCTGCAAACACGCATACTCCATGGAAACCATTTACATAGCTGGAAAATTACAGACAGGCTTCCTTTGCATTTTTGACTACCGTCAGCCTATCTCAAACTGCCCTTGTCACAAAACCAAAATTTGCTGCCTGAAAGTGGAAGTGGATTTTCCTGATTCCTATGCCAGCCAGAGCTGGTGCTCTGTCCTCCCTCTTCTCTCTAGCTGAATTTTCAGGAATACTTTTTCTGTATGTAGGATGGAGGTTTCAAGGCAGACAGAGTCATTCTGTCCTCTACCTTA